ACATGAAGCCAAGGTACTGAACACTAATTCTTTACCCAAATATCTTAATTGTCAAGTCATAAGTTTTGTGTCTTACATATGTCAAGCTTTTGTTTAGAAAACCTATCTCATTCTAATTTTATATAGCCATAGATATAGCCCAGTCCCTGGTAAGTTGTGGGAAATAAAGAAGAAGAAAACAGAACAACACTTGGGGAGAATACTAGCTTTACTTAAGAAAATGTGTGGATAAAGCCCCTTACAGTGGAATGTAATAACTTGAAAGAAGGTATTTTCCCAAGAACACACCTGAAGCAATCAATGCACTCGCTAAAGGCTTCTGCTTTACAAATGAAGAGAAATGTAGGCGTCAGAGGAAAGCAAAGGATGCAGAAGACGGGAACCAGAGAAGAGGGAGAAGTTAAGAGGTCAGTAATCTGAGCTTCGCAATCTTTAGTCAGAATTTTCACAGAAGAGCATCAATTTTTAAAGTTTAACTTGCTTATCTTGTTATACTAGTAATTAAAGCTACTTTCTGACTCACTCAAGATGCTAGGAGTTGACATCACAATACCATAAAAAAAACCCTGCTATAACTTAGCACTGTTCTCTCTTACCTTTTTTTAAAATTGTGGGAAATGATTGCTTCCCCTTGGGTCAACACAGAGTGAAATATGGTGAGTTATGAACAGAATGCTTTTGGAATTGAATGAATTTCACGAAAGCCAGAATATGGTCAGATTTGACCACTGTCAGGCTCTGGGTAGGCATCTTATAGAGATCATTAGATGTTCCACGGAAAGTACAATGAAGAATCAATCTGTCTCATTTAAAGCATAAATTATGCATATATCATGATATTATGGACTAAAGAAAGAAATTGCTTTCTCTTGTTTGGTACAAAGAAATTGCTTTCTCTTATTTGGTGTGTAAGGAATTCCTAACTAAAAAGCACAGATCATTATAGTCCTGACATTACAACCGAAACAGACATTGCAAGTGCAAGGTTGTGATAATAGTGAACTAAATTAAGATATGTGGATTCTTCAGCCTAGTAGCTGATGCATGGTAAACATGTTGTGTTAATCATCATGATTTATTGGAAGAGTTCTCAGTTCGGCTTTGCATGAGAGTCACCTAGAGTTTTAAACACGCATGCTCAGGCTCATCCATAAATCCATTCGTTGAACTTGAACCTGAGCATGTGTAGAAGAACATCACAGTGTAGGTAGCACTGCAATTCTCTTGGTATTAACTCAAGAAGAAAAACATGATTACCTTTAGAAATTCTATCACCAAAACCACACAACACAAGCTACTTAGTCTTAGAGCCCTAAGTGCTCCAATGAGAGCTGTCTAAAAGCCTCTGGCTGTCAAAGGGAGGTGTGGGAACAGCAGCTGGTGAGCATGTTTCTGGCTCCTGTTGGCATACATTCCTGAGGAGAGAATGTCTCTATCTTTCCACACTGAGACAATAGCATTTTTCTCTTTGATTTGTTTTGAGGATGAATTCAAAGACTCAGGAACACTGCTGGTGTCTATGATCATTAACATTTGTCCTTAAAATGCTGAACCATCTTTTTTCTTTCCTGTGACTCCACTTGTAACTGCTTAATAAGAATTTTGCATTTTAGGAGGGTTTGACATTTATGTTAGGACCCTTTGATGAGACAGAAGTTTCCACATAGCTGTGGTTTACGAAATTTCCTCTTGCCTGGCACTGATGATCACCCACATCTCATATATATATATAATTTCCTCTCAGACTGTTACCAGAATTGTATCCATCAGGCCTGGCTCTGAGTTCTAACATTTGTCTAAATTAGGAGAGAGTGACAGTATATATGAAATTGGAAAAAATGAATTTATTTACAGTTTCGGCCAAAATTAAGGAGAAAGTCATTCTCAATCTGTGTCTATCTTGCTCATAGCAGTGCTGCTTATAGAAAAGCTGGGTCATAGTAATTTGTAGATTTAGCTGTGGGTTCCAGGTATGGACTTAGGAGATGGTAATTTGTTTTTTTTATTGGCAGGATGAGTCAATGCTGTGGATGTGGGCCATTTTTACTCCCAAAGTTCTGTTTCCTGTAGGGGTCCTAGTTCCTACAGCTCCTGTTTTAAGAATGATAATGTCCACATGCACAAGCTCTTAAGTTGCTGCTTAGATTCTTAAGTTGCTGCTCAAATCACGATGAAGATCTAATCATTGTGATTTCAGGACAAGATAAAATTTGTCCAGTATTCAAGATTCTCCAACATTATTCTCATGTATAATGCTCTTGCGTTAACTAGTTAATCAGCTGAGAGTGTTACTTGTTATACCCAGCACTTCAAAGATAAAGATAATTTCAGGACAGTTATACTTTAAGTTAACAGATTCAGCTCTTCCCTCTACAACCTGAGATTGAGCTAATGATAGATATAAAGAGAAATTCTAGGTACCATCATATATGCCCAAACATTATCACATTCTCCTTTAGAAGTAGTGATTAAGAGAAAAAAATTAGGTTAAGTGAAGTAAGTCAGGCCTAGAGAGACAAAGGACCTATGTTTTCCCTTCTATGTGGAAGCTAGATTTAGCTTCCAAACTCATAAGTAATTATGTTAGGTGGTATGCAACTGTATATAAATGTATTAACTAAAATATGGTAGATTCAAGAAAGACCTCAAATAGTGTAATTAGAAAGGCAAAGCCAAAATTAAGCAACATAAAACATTGGGAAGCAGGTACTTGAAAGGGAAGGGATGAGGCCAAGAAGAAAAGGAAAGATGAATAAAGAGAAAGGGGGGAAGGAGGATGCAGACAAAAATCTAATGTATATCCTACAAAATTAAGAAGAGGAAAAGGGTGGGTAGGGGAGGGATGGGTGAGAATGTTGAAAGGGGTGACACTGATCTAGACACATTGTATTCATAAACTACTTTGTTAAATGGCAACGCCTTTGTGCAACTACCTAAAGATGATAATAAACAATAAATTCCCAAAGTTTACTTTGGAAATTTACTTTGAAAGTAAACTTCCTTTGTAAATGCTACTTAACCTCTTTCTATTTCTGTCTGTAAAATGGGGATAACTCACATTTACTGCATAGGTTTAGAAAAGGTTAATGCAGTGTGTCCAGGGCTTACAGGGGAAGAGAATATTACCCAGAAATGACTTCCTATTAATGGCTAATAGATTTGGTGTATAAACATACAAATCCATTTTACCATGATTTAATCCTAGGGCTTTCCTAATGGAATTGAGCTCTAGATCCTGCTTATTGAATGCTTTCCTTTTCTTAACTATTTTCCCCACTCTCTAACACATGTTTCTTTCCTTCTGAAAACATCACTTTCTACTCAAATATGTGTACCAGCAAATTAAGGCTTTCATCTTCCTCCAATCAAAAGAGAAATTAGAATAATGAAATTCAAATTGAACTTCCTGATGTGTAGAGGGCTGCTGGGTACTTGTTGCTAGTACTACAGTGTTATTGCTATGGATGGAATGTTTGTGTCCTTCTTGACTTCTTGTTCGGACTCCCAAACCTGCAGTGTGATTTGTGTTTGGATTTGTGGCCTTTAGGATGTAATGGGGTTATAAGGATGATGCCCCCCAAAATGGGATTCATGTCTTTAGAAGAATAGAAGGTGATAAAGCTTTTCTTCTGTGCTTCCTCTTCCATTTCTTCCTCCCTTTCCTGTTATTTTTCTCTCCTCACTTCTCTCTCTCTCCCTCCCTTCACATAGCAAGGGAAGGGCATAGAGCATTTCCAGGAAAAGGCTCTCACTGGACAATAACCTTTTCTAGCCTCCAGAATGTGAGATAAATTTCTGTTGTACATAGTCTTTATTAAAGCTACACTGACAGAAATAGCTGGGATTACACATGATGTGGGACGTAATGTCAAGTAAAGAGTCTACATATCATGCAAACAGAAATGTCTAAGAGTATTCATTCTTGCTCTTAATTTACTTCATCATTTTGATACCTTTTGGTATCAAAATGCTCTTGGTTGGGTGCTACGGCACAAGATTATGTGGAGCAAATTACAGAAATGGTCAGGGCTGGGGATAGATTTCAGCTATGAGCAGCAGAAGATAAACTTGGTAAAATGTGAATGATTAAATGGACCAGAGGGTTGTCTGTCTAATGTAGTAAGAAATTCGGAAGTAGAATGTCTTAATCTGGTGAGTTTAGGGGTTTCCTAGTAGACATGGTTTCTTTCATTCTTGTACTCATTTATATTCGCATGTTTTCAGTATGACTGTTGTACTTTTAGGAGTTGTTTCCATGCTCCAGACAGAATGGGAAAAAATAAATAGGAAAAGCAAAATTCCCAAACATATACTATTGTCCATCTTAAAAGCCTATCCCCAAATATTGCATTTACTCACTGGTAGTGAACTCACTTCCAGTTTTCATGCTATCAAGCTGTGGGGCATTCTGGGGAGCTTCTTCATGCTCCAGTGTCAGTTTTGGAGGAAGTCACAGGAAATAAGACTTTAGGTGATTTTTGCATAACTGACTTCTAGCATTCAGACATTTATCTTGTAAGAAGTTCAAAACACGTACTTGTGGCAGAATTCAACAAAATTAACCTATGCTATTAGAAGCAAAGAGATGTTCTACTTTATCAATGGATTTAAGACAAGTGTGATTTTTTTTTTTTTTTTTTTTGCTAGTCTGGGGCTTGAGTTCATGGCCTTGGCACTGTCCTTGAGCTCTTTGTACTCAAGGCTAGTGCTCTACCACTTGATCCACAGCACCACTTCTGGATTTTTCTGAGTGGTTTATTGGAAATAAGAGTCTCATAGACTATTCTGCCTGGGCTGGCTTAGAATCACAGTCCTCGGATCTCAGCCTCCCCAGTAACTAGTATTGTATGTGTGAGCCACTGGCACCCGATTGACAACTGTGAATTTTAGGTTGTCATGTTCTACCTGATACTTACTTAAATAGCTATTAATATTAAGAAATACTGAGGTTGAATTAAGGGGAGAAAGGGAATTTTGTACTCCCAATACAACGTTTTGGAGTGCTCGCTTCAGCAGTACATATACTAAAATTGGAATGATACAGAGAAGATTAGCATGGCCCCTGCACAAGGATGACATGCCAATTTGTGAAGTGCTCCATATTTACCATAGCTAAGATATGGAACCAACCCAGATGCCCCTCAGTAGATGAATGGGCCAAGGAAATGTGATATATATATATATACATATATATATACATATATATATATAATGGAATTTTATGCTTCCATCAGAAAGAATAACACTGCCCCATTTGTAAGGAAATGGAAAGACTTGGAAAAATTCATAGTAAGTGAAGTAAGCCAGACCCAAATATGTCCCATAGTGTCCCTTATTTGCAATAATTAGTATATGTCTAGGATAATCTTAGCAGATGAGTAGAATAGTTCAATAGCTTTGTACATATGACCATATAAGATGAAGCAAAGTGAAATGAACTCCAAGACATGGACACAAGAGGTTTTTCTTTGTTGTTGTTGTTTTTAATGTACTATGCGATTTTTTTGTTTTCTTTTATTTTTATTTTTTTTAATGTGAGAATACCATACAGAGGAGTTACAATTACATGGGCAAGGTAACAAGTACATTTCTTATCAAGCGTTGTTGCCTTCTCTTTGTTTCCCCTTCCCATCGCTTCCCATACTCTCCCCACCCCCCACCAAAGTTGTAAAGTTCGTTTTTCGACATAACGACTTGTGCATCTCATTGTTGCGGTGGGTCCACCTGTATCCCTAGTTAAATGATTTGTTTTTTCCCTTCCTCTCCACAAATTATACCAACATCAAATACAGTGAAAGCATGGGTTATATTTTGGGGGAGGGACATGCAAAGCAACATAGAAATCATCTTATAAATATGCTAGAAACAATCACATGAAAGGAAAAAAAACAAAAAAACATTTGAATACTTATCTTGGGGTTCATTCCCCAACATCAACTTATCTGACCTTTTCTGCTTGTCTCAGACATAGACTAGTTATTACAAATAAGGGAAACCATGGGACCTATGTTTCTTTGGGCCTGGCTTACTTCACTTAATATGATTTTTTCCAAGTCTTTCCATTTTTTGTTTCTTTTGTATGTTCTTCCTCCTATGGTATATCACCTGTTGTCACTGTATTTGATTTTGGTACCCTGGTATTGTATATACGTTTATTTGGATTAGAGAAGGGAAGGGGAACAACAGAATGGTGAGACAAAGGACAAGGGGGAACCAATGCAGCAGCGACATACACAAGACAATATGCTGGAAATGATCTGTGCAACATGGCGGTGTGGGAGAGAAAGTAGGAGAAAAATGAGGGAAAGGGTAACAAGTTTGATAAGAAATGTACTCATTGCCTTACTTATGTAACTGTATCCCCTCTGTACATCACCTTGACAATAAAAAACAAACAAAATGTCTTGGACAATTTGTGCATAATTATCTGATGTGACTGGACTGGCCATGCAATGTTTGGGTTAAGAGTCATGTATGCAGGAAAACTTTGCATGTCTGCAGTGTCATTGTTCAGACTGATGAGGTACATTGCAGCATTGATATTCTAAGACATTTATTCCTTTAAGTACATGCCAGAGATTCTGGATCTTTACAAATAATATTTGAAAAGGAAAAAAACTCAATCTCCTCATTATCTGGTATTAGAAATCTACTCTTATCAGGAGGCTAGGCCAGCAATTAAAAAAGAAAAAAACTACAAAACTAGTGATCTTTAAAATAATAAATTTAGAAATATGAGAAAACAAGGAACTTTTACAGATCTGATGGTGTTTCAAATAAAAAAGATGGATATTTATTTTAGAATGAGAAAGAGGGAAATTGGGAGAAAAGGTGTAATACTGTTCAAAAAGAAATGTACTCATTACCTTACATAACTTTAACCCCTCTGTATATCATCTTTACAATAAAATAAAATTTAAACTATGAGAATGAGAAAGAGAAACAGTAATAGAAAAATAAGCACATTGCCAAAGAAGCGACACGTGTACTTTACAGATAGAATCATGGAGGAATTAATTTTTTTCAATTAGATGGCGTTCATTTTAGTAATGAATTTTATTTAAAATATATGCAAATGTAGCTGTGTGAGAATATAAAAATACTAAAGATACTGTTAGCATGGTTCTTGAAATGAAGAAAGAATACAAAGCTCACTTTTAACCAAGCTAGTTTCTAACTAACTAGCTATTTTTGAGAAACTAGTTATTAACTAAACTAGAAAGCTAGCTCTGCTCTTTTTATTTTGGGGAACATTATTGAAAATTACTAGAGTAAAATTCTACAGGTGGAACCACACAGAATTCTCTGAAATCCACCACAGCACACTATGTCTCCTATTTGAAGAAACAGTACCTCGGCCTGGGAAATAAGTTAGTGTACTTAGGTGCTTGTTCATTGACTGACCCCAATTTGAAAATGGACATCTAGGCTCTTTCTGTCTAGTTTCTGCAGCAGAAAAGGCTTTCAGTGAGTTCATTTTTGAACGTAGGCTTTGTTTTGTTGTTTTCCCTCTTTGCTTTGAGATGAGGTAACACAGGCTGGCTTGAACTCACTCTGTAGCACAGACTGGTTTCATACTCATGATCTTCCTACCTCCGCTTTCCTGGTGATGGGATTACAGGTGTGTACCACCACATCCGACTGGGAGTGAATAGTTTAATCAAAACAGAAATAAATCTTGATAGGGATAGATATTTCCTATCTAAATATACTTTGCTCGAAGAATTACTAACAATTTGAATCTATTTAAATAGGAATAAAGAATAACAAATTTCTCCACTAAATTTTTTATTAGAGACATGTATGCCAATAGCAAGGAAGTATAATATATAATGAAGTCTATTTATAGTTCCAAAGTATTCTGGACATATTTCCTGTAGATTCCTAAGTGGTTATATCTTTTTAAGCTGCCTCCAAGCTTACTTGGGAGTAACTGATACATTTGGATGCAGCCCTCTCTGCTGCCCACAGCTCCAAATGGCATGGTGCTAAGAGCTCTGTTGTGCCATAGCTGAATTATTAGGTGTCATGGAGCATTTGTAAACCATGGAACACCTGTGCTATTGGCAATAGGTGACATTTAAATTGCAGGATGCCAAAAAAAGATTTCTGAAGCAGTATTTTCTTTCTGACCAAAGGATTTCAATAAAAACAAACTTTGAAGAAAATAGCAGAGAGATAGCTGCCATTAAAAAACACCCACAACAATGTTTATTTACCAGATTAGGGTCATACAAAGAAGGTTTGCCAAGAATCACTTCATTGAAGTGATTTCTAGTGCAGGTGCATGAGAGATTCAGTTCTCACTGTGTCGTTTATATCATAAGGACTCTGAGGATCTCAGAATTGTCTGTGGGCTTTTTTTCTCAAATATTTCTTTTAAAAATGTTTTATTATTGTAGAGGTGATATACAGAGAGATCACAGTTTCATAAGTCAGATAAAAGTGCATTTCTATTTGAATAATGCCACCTCCCCTCCCCTCTCTCCCTATTTTCCCTCCCATCCCCACCTAAAAGTTGTACAGCTCATTTTCCACAGTGTCTAGTGAGTAACACTACTGCATTTGCTCACCCTTTGTCCTACCTTTTCCCTGCCCCCTTGCCCTCCCAAAGACAAACTAACAAACAAAGCAAAAGGCAAAGACAACATAAACGGCAGCAGCAGCAGCAAAACAAAAATCTTTTGGTTTTTAATTCTTGGAGTTCATTTAGTAAAATATTTGGTAGACATTGTATAGGCAAAAAAGAAAAGAAAAGAAAACAACATAGGCTATGAGTGGAAAGAAAAAGACATTGCCAAGTTATTGAGCATAAAATTGGCTAATGTGAGCATGCAGTCTCTTTATTGTAGATTATGGAACAGCTAAATTTTAAACTTAGGTGAGGTAGCAGTCTGTGATGAGCTCCAGGGCCAAGCAGCTGAGATGCCACGATTACGATGCCGAGCTCAGCAGCCTTTTCTGTTAAAGGTGATAATAAATCTGTTTGGTTTTGAGGGCTTTGGAAGCTATGCAGCTGTAAAAGCATGCATAAATGAATGATCAAGGCTGCATTACAATATATTTTTATAAATAATAATGGGGAAGGGGCTATTTTACAGACCTCTAGTCTATTATCATTTTCTCATAAAAGGCATTAAAGTTTGTTAACCAGGTTTAAGGAGAATGAATAATAAGTGAGTTCTACTAATTGGATAATTCTATACTTTGTAATGGATTATCATGGGCATGGCCTTTGATGGAACCAAGCAATTGCTTGTAATTGCTAATTTATGTGCCTGTACATCCAAGAGACTCACTTCATTTCTTCAGGCTTCTTAAAGGCAGCATTGTCTCCCTTCGTTTCTTAATGCGCAATCTAATATCCATCACCAAAAAGGAAATTAATAGATGATTTTATTTGCAGCATCAGGTACCTGAAACACTTGGAGAATCCCTTAAGTGCAAAACAAACTTACAGAAAACATCTTTGTTCACAATGATCATTCTATCCTTGAACATTTTTCTTCCATTGAAAATGGTTTTAGAGTTGCAGTACAGAAAAAAAAATTCTTCAATAAACTCTTTTGTATGATGGTTTCATGTGGTCAAAGACACAGGCCAGATAGGTTCATGTCAAAGGACTTGCCAAAACAGTGTCTGGAGGGCTAGAATCCAATTTAGAAGTGTTGTAAAGATTCTGGTTTCTGTGGTCCTACAGAAACTACTTGAAAGCTGACGCCAGATTGCATTTTCCAACCCTTTTGTGAGAGCAGTAAATATGACCAAGGTGTAGCAGGTTTCTTTGAAGTTTGAATGACAGCTGATGAAAAACCATTGATGGAAAACTTTCTAAAGAGAAAAGTAAATGCCTCCGTGGAAATGGCTTCCAAATCCCTTTGAGTAAAGGGAGGTTTCAGTGACAGTGACAGGGATGGTGTAAGTGGGTGAATCTCTACTCAGAATCATCAAGTTTTCCAGTAGTTCAATAAGTGCATTGAACAAGAGCTCCTTGGCAAATGCAAGTTTAGTTTTTCTCTAGTAGTTTCCTCACATTCATTTGGTAGGTCCTTTTAATAGTAACACACATTGTGTGTTCAAGAGGTTTCCTTGTGTGGTATTTCCATG